AAGATGATGAAAAGTATGCTGTGTAATCACCACCCATATCCAAGTCCTCCATGCCTCTCAGGAGACCATTGTCTTTAGTATGGTTGTTAGCCTTCCAATAATGCTCAGTCAGACACTCTCTCATGGCCGGCCACAGTGCACCTGACCTCAGCCCTTTCCCTTTATTACAAAATGTTGCCATGGCTTTCTCTCTCTGGAAGAATCATGCTATTACGAGAGGGAACCGAGTGTGGGAAAATGAAAAGTGCTGCATTTCTGTGTGCAAGTATGTTTAAAAAAGGAAGTTGGCTTACAGGTTCTATTTTTACGTACGGCCCAGCTGGATGTCCAATTCTCCTATTCATTTTCTTTATCGAATCTGGATTGGAGGGGAAAAATAGCTGTTCTTACGCACCAGGAAGGGATTTACTCTGAGGTTGATGAGTGGAGGAGAAAGAAAGGAGAGGGGGAAATGATTGTTTGAGGGCCACCGGTGGGTTCAAGTTTCGCCGTCTTTACCCTGGAGCTTTTGATTCTTTGCTCTCCCTTTCTCTCTCACTCACTCACTCACCCTCTCCCTTTGTTTCTCTTCGCTAGCCACCCCCCTTCAGACCACACCACCACGCTTCAGGAGCACAGTAACCAGGAGAAGAGAGGGAGGCAGTGAAGGAAGCGCATTGCGAGGACTTAACAGAGACGATTCTCAGCCACAAAAACTCCCAGCAAGGTAGGATCACCTCTTTCTTCTGTGAAATCTCTTGATGGGTGGGAAAAGAGAGGGAAAGTCCTTCTTCCTCCATCCAAATGGCTGGTTTCTGTTCTGTAATTTCTCAGTTGCTAGCTCCAGGATGGATGTGAGGCAGTCAATAGGTGCATGCGAGTTTGTGTGTGTGTGTGTGTGTGTGTGTGTGTGTGTGTGTTCGATATGGGATACAAGGTGTCTAGATGGAGAAGGTGGTTTGGATGCATTGTCTAAAGACCAGAAGAGGCTAGTCCAAATGTTTCCTGTCTTACAAAAAACAATATCTTGCAGATCTAGGGTAAATATGAAAGATATGAGGTGTTTAGACATGAGCATATGAAGTGTGAATGCAAACACCTAAAGGACTTCCTAGAAGTGATCTAAAAGATCCAACATATCGGTGTTGTTTTAGTATTACTTGTATACTATTTATCAATATTACCTTTATCTTTTGTTTTTATATTTCAGTTTTCACTGTAATTTTAGTTTAATTTTTTGTATTTATTATTATTATTATTATATTTCAAGGTTAAATTATTTTAGTTTTCATTTTAGTTTTAGTTAAGTTTAAGTTTTAGCTTTAGTTAGATTTTTTTTTATTCATTTCAGTTACTAATTTTAATGCTTCAACTTTTTTCAGTTAGTTGCCAAGACAGCATTTTACATTTTCCTTTAGTTTAAGCCTTTCATCTAATATTTATATTTTATTTGATTTCAGATTCATTTCAATATTCAGGTTTTATTTTATTTAAGATTTTAGTTCAGTTTTAGGTTAAGTTTTAGCTTTAGATTTTATTATTTTAAGGTTACTTATTTTACTGCTTCAGCTTATTTATTTATTTGTTTGTTTGTTTTTCCACTTTGTGGCCGAGACAACATTTCTTATTTTTTTTTAAATCATATATTATATAAATGTTTATATTTAAATTTATATATATTTTATTTTATATTATGTGAGCTTTATTTAAATAAACACATTTTCTAATGTTTTAGTGTTAACTACAATATCCCTATGCACAGATGAACTGACTTTAAGTTATGATTCATCAGGTTAGCTTAAAGGCAGCAAAAACAGATGACATACAGTGAAGATACATGCTAACACACATGCTAAGACAGATGTTGTCTGAGGTCATCCAGATGCCCAGGTGTGCAGCACGCAACAGAAATATGCCCTCATCACCTCAAACCAAGCAAAAACAGTTAATTATAAACGTGAATCATTCCTGAACGGTGTTTCACCAACCCCTGCTAATTGATTTACTCTTTTCTGGCGAGGACCAAGCACCTGTTTTGTGGCTGCGGTATATTCCAAAATCTGGAAAACAAACTGATTTAAAAACTGGCAGAAGGGTTGTTGTTGTTGTTGTTGATGTTGATATACATCCTGCCATTCTGGGTTCAAACCCAATAAGCCATGAGGCATCTTAAAAATTTTAATGGGAGACCATAAACTCCTGGGCTTAATTTTAGCTTACGAGCACATGGTGAAACTGTGGCGCTGATGTGAATTTTAGACTTGCTAATTTCTACGCTATATTTGGATTTTGAGGGAAATGCAAAGATGCTAATTTGTGATGGGCAGGCTGCCATCATCTGCAGAAAATACATAAATGAAACATTGAGAACTGTTCTGAAAGTTATAAAGCATCCTATGTAAACCGCTTGCAGTGCAGTTTGGGTTATAAAGCCTAACTTTTGCATCCACAACAGCATAGGTTTCAACGATCCACACTTGCTGTAATTGCATGTTAATATATGATCTTTTTAGCATTGTTGCTATGGCAGAAGTCAGCTGGCAGAAGTTGGTTTGGCAGTGGCAGTTGTCAGATTGGACCAGGCTGGTGTCCCTCAACGTGAATAGTTGCCTCGGTGTCTGGATGGACAGACTTGGCACTGGCCGACAGATCAGGAGAGGTGAACAAAAAGCTTGAAGATGACAGACGGGAGAGGGGAAGAATACCCCACTTGTGTCCTGTGTCTAAGGGGCTCTTCAGTGTTCAGTGTGGGAGTGTGATATTTATCTGAGTTTATGAGGAGATAAAAGCTCATTTAGACACCTTTTCCCAAAACACCCTTGCAGCACACAAAGTCTGAAGGCAGTTTAGACTTTTCAAGGAAAGCTTTTACCACTTTTCTCCTAATTGGGTGAATATCACAAACGAAATTGCCAAGAAACTGTCCAAGCAAGACAGTTTCAGCATATCAAGCAGATAAGAAAATGTCTTAGCATATCTAAGTCGATGAGAAGAGTTGTTGAATTATTGTATGAATCTCATAAAAGAAATATGTAGGGCATATTTAATTAAAATACGTAGTATTAAGATATTTCTTGCATAATGGAAATTAATATTATTTTTAAAACTATTATTTTGATATTATTTTCATGAGAGTCGAGGACATTTAACCCCCCTTTATGTCATTGTAAGCTTATTGTAATGTGTCATAATTACTGTAATGCAAAAAATTAAATTCAGCTTTTGTTGTGCTGAATATATTTAGTTGTATTTACTTTCAATTTTTAGTTTAATGCATTTAATGTATTTAGTTTTAATAAAAGTATGCATTGCGGTAGTGAGAATTTTGGAGGAAATGTATAAAATATTATACTTATATAATTACACATATTAAAATTGTCTGCTAAATGACTAAATGTAAATTTAAATTGTTATGTATCTCTGAATTAATAATAAACAATGAAACAACAACAACAAAAACGTTTTATTATTAATAACAATACAATTATTATTATTATTATTGTTAGATTTATTTTGAGGTGAAATATGACCCAGATATGTATTAATGAAATTCACACAATTGTTTATCAACTATTGTTTCATTTTCTTAAATATGGAGGAGCAGTATTATACATTTTTTATGTTTTTGTTATGTTAATACAATTAGAATGTTATAGGTTTTGAAGTACTGTGTAAAAGATCGGTGAAAATAGTATATTTAAAAGTAACCAAGTATTACCATTGAATAGCATCAAACGCTTTACCAATATCACAGTATTTGCTTGCAAGGGTTGTGAGTCATAAAGATTCCAGACAGAGATAAAAAAAAAAGAAAAAAATGCCAGGACTAAATAACAAGGCAAAAGTCTGCTGTCCAACAAAGAACACAGTCTGGAATAAAGGGCTGATGCTGTGAGGTGAAATGGCAACTTGTATCGTCTGTTCTTCATTTACTGCGCAAGGGCCATCTGGGGTCCTAATTAGCCACCACAGCATTATTAGCAATAGCCAGTTTCCATAGGCGTGTCCCCCCCATCCAGCACACACACAGCGTAAATTAGAGCCTTCAGTATCTGTGTGCTGTCTGCACAAGTCACTTCCTCCCACCTCTGTCTCTGGTGCATCATTTAGATGGCTAATATGAAAGAGAGGGAGCAGAAGACGAGGTGGGGCGCAGGAAGTCATATCAGACAGGGATTCGGGAGAGTGGGTTGACTTATGGTGCTTTAGTGATATGGTTCCTTTGTTCTGTGAACCGCTTTGGCCAGTTTAACTGCTCTTTGAGTCGTCCTGCACTCGCTCTCTGCTGGCATAGAGATCATTTTGGCAGGTGTCCAGTGGGAAACTGTTATGATCATTATGTTACACAGAATGTTGCTGTAAATGAATACTTGTTCATATTAAACCAACCCTCACTGTAAAACAAATAAAGTATATGTCATTAATGATGAAATATTATATAATAATGAAATATTGAAATATTATATACTGAAAATTACCTTACTTAAGTACCATAAAACACAGTATGAAAATTTATATTCATTTTGAGATTTGCTAAATATCACATTTAACAGTTTATAAAATTATTTGTACATTTTTAAAGGTTATATAAATATGAATAAATTACTTTTAAAAAGTATCAAGACATTTTAAATTATTAAATATTTCACAATATTGCTGTTAACTTTTATATATTGCTTTATATTTATGACTGACAACAAAACTATTTAGAATAAACAATTATTTAAATGAAACACCATCAAATGTGGTGGAATTCTGGGAATGTCAATTAATGCTTTTTTGTACTGTAAATCATAAGATGACCTGCATATTTTTACCTTCCCAAAACTTTAAATTTAACAGTATTTTACTGTTAAATATAAATATCCTGTTAGATTTATCACAGTTTTACCATATATAGTAAGTAACATTTCCGAAAACTTACTTACATAGCATTTTTACACCCTTTAACCGTTTAATTATGAAAATGTTTACAGCTTATGGAAAGAGTAGTATGTCTGAATTCATAGTAGTCATAAAAACAGTAGGCAAAAGAGGTTACAATAAGGTTGAGTGGGAAACCTGGTCCAAAATTTTCTGGAGGAATTTAGTTGTGTTGCTTGTAGAGACCTGTTAATCACACCTCCAGTATTTCGCCACAGAACAGAGTTAAATACCTCTCTGATGAGACGTCAGACACAGAGAATGCACCTTTGTCTAAACATGGCCGGATGTCATCGGGAGAGATGTGTTGAGATCTTTTTAACTTGCACATGTGACTTATACAAGCCACTAATACGCACGAACAAACATGAGCTTTCCAAAACAAACCTACACCCAGAGATGGAACCTCATCCATCTGGACATGGCTGTTTCTAATCATTTTCCAGTCCATGGAGAAATCCTTTTAATCATTTCCTATGAACTGCTACTAACCTGACCTGGTCACTGTGAAGGATTCTGGATTAAAAATTACAGAGTGCTCATTATTTCATTTTTTTTCTTTATCTCACCACATGTTGTTTCTGAATCGTTGCCAATGAATGGTTTCCCTCATGAAAACAGAGAGCGCAATTAATGTGATATCTATTTATCAAGAGAGACAGTGGAGTTATTCTTGCAATATGGCCACAGGGTGTCGACGTTAAGCATAACGAGGAAGTGTGTGTGCTTTCACAGAGTTTTTTTTTTAATTCAGTTTGAACAAAAATATAATTGGAACTAAGTGTATTAATTAATTATTTAATT